CTAGTAACAAGTGCCTTACTAGTAGTAGCAAGTGCCTTACTAGTAGCTGATGTTTTCAATGTTCTACAGATGTTCCACGGCCTTTTCGCATGGATGTCAGGCACAGTGAGCTTTAATACTGCCATGAATTCATTGAGCGGAGGATGGGTTTGGATCGGCGTGTCGCTTTTGCTACGTTGTTTTTTGGAGTGTTTTTGCTACATGTCCCTTCAGTCCGTACCCTTTTACGTCGCACTGAAACGCTGGAAGCTCAAAGCGCAGGAGATCTGTGGCGGGTTTCATTGAGTTTTTTTAGAGACATGCAGCGAATGCGTTTGGTCGCTGATGCCATCAGCTTGAACTCGGCCTCGTTTGCTTTAGCAACGTGGCACACACCAAAAACACAACACAAATGAAGTCTATTGGATCAACCTCTTTGCTTTTCTACAAGTTTGACAGTCTGACGTTGAATTGAAAAGGGATTGAAGAGACCCAGAGCTTAATGAGGAATTGGCAGGCCATTGGCCTTTGGGCTTCGCATTGCTATCTTCGTTGGAAGCTGCAGACCGTGTATCTTGGATATGCACTTTGCTTTGAGTCCAGGATGGAATCGGTTTTGGGTTTCAGAATGTTGCAATATGTTAATTTCAAGCTTGGAGCCAAAGGTGACCTGCAATGCTTTTGATGATGTTTGGACTGTCAGTTGGAGAGTTCGGGAACGAAGTTGCCGTTCTGTGTGTTCATTCAATCTTAAGTTGCTATGTTCAGTTTCCCTAAAAGTCTGCTACGAACTACTAAGTCACTAAGTAGGCTAGAGTCTAGCTAGTCTTACTCTCCCCTTACTTTTCTACCTTAGTTACTTCTTAGCTATTCCTCTTACCGGCTAACCCCCAAAGGAATAAGAAAGGTCTTTCTTCCTTTCTGATTCTTCCCTAAGGAGAGTGAGATGATCCTCAAGGCTGGCCCTTGGGATCATTCTTTGGCCAAATTGGAGCAGATGGTTCGCTTCAGGTGCGAATCGTCTTGTCAAGAAGTCACAAAGAAGCAGGTTCAAAAAGTGCGTATGAAAGTGCATGTACGATGAATGGCGTGCTGTCTCAAAAGTTTTAGTCGAAGCTTTCCCAAGCAATTTGATACACGAAGCCTCATTGCCTTTGACCGTATTGCTGTTTTGCAAGGCATCCTTCAAACTGTAGATCATTGAAAAGTGCGGTTGGGCACCAGTTCTTGTCCTCTGTTCAAATTGCATCATGAATCTCTTACTTCAAAGTACGATTCAAAAAACGCACGACGTGTTCCAAAAACAACGGAAACAGAGCTTGGCCTGGGCAGGATGAAGCTGGACATCGTCAGCTGCAATAGCATCATCAGCCTCTTTGCCCAACGTCCAAGAATTCAAGTTTCGTTCTGACAAGCAAGATTCTCGTAGCTCTACTACTAGCTAGTAGGCCATCTCAATTAGGTTGGAGGCCATCGCTATTGGGTAGGAGGCCGTAGCTTGTAGGTTGGATCCTGGCTTTCTTCATTGTCTTTGCGCTTGTTCCCCTTTCCAGCTTCTTTACCTGAGAGCTCCAGGTCGCTTGAGCCGGGTGGGCAACTCACTTGCGCTGAAGCTTTTGGCGAGGCATGGAGATCCATCTAAAACCTTTCAAATAATAATAGTAGTAAGTAATAACAAGGTACCGCCGCTAATAGTGACCCTGTGCGATTCGCACAGCGCCGAAGTGGACAGTGCTCAAAACCTCCCACTTTTTTAATTTTTTCATTTGGGAGAGGTTGCATCATATGTGCTTTCATCCCATTTTTTAGAAGGGACGGCACTTGTAACGTGGAATTTAGAATGGGGAAGAGCAGAAAGTGCACTCCTTTTTGGCGCACATGCGTTTTGCAGGTGTATGTTCTTTACACTTGCGGCCACGTTCGGGCCAACGCCTCAAGCAAATTTCCTCTGTTGTTCCACCGAAACTGAACACTGCGGACATATTGATCGACGCGTTTTGCGTCACCCCACATCAACCACGAAGCATCAACTTCGTGACGCAAGTGCAAGCGAACGTTCACATGCCCCGCCCCACCCCAACCCAACCCCACAAAAAAACGCGATTTCCTTTGGGGTCGCTAACAGCGGCGACAGCTATAACAATAATAATGAAGAAAGTCAGGTAAATCACATACGAAAACAAAAAGCGATACGAAACCTGCATTTTGAGCAAATCTTATTTCAATAAACATGCACAAACAGCGGGGCCGTTGTGGCACCCGTGACCTTGTTTTAGATTAAGACAAGATGTGTATTGGACGTAAGTTGAGGCCATCGCTACTTGAGGGCGCGAGCTTCCTTCAAGCGTGAGCTATCCCTCCGGAGCGTAGCTATGACTCGTGAACATACTCTTACATACTCCTACTGAGCATACCTATTAGATACTTAGCGGCCTACCCCTCCCCCGGAGTTCATGACCGTTTTCCTTTTCTTCTCCTTCACGCAGAAATGACGTAATGTGAGACTTGACGTCTTGGAATTGGCTACCGCAGCTTCTTGTTCTGTTTTGTTTGATAGAGACTCATTCTAGTCATGGCACTGCAATTTCAGAACAAGTGAGGGTGTCACCAGCAATGCTTCGTTGGAGGCTCCCACAACTACATTTGAAGCCGGATCTTTATTCGGTTAATGCGGCCATGGCATTTGCCGAGTGGACAAAAGCCTTAGATTTGCTCGCAGCTTTGTCAACGCAACTCCTGGAGGTGCCCAGGGGGTTCCAGAAAGTTTCTTGCGTTTCCCAACACTAGTTTCTTGTTCCTAGTAGTAAGGCCAGGAGCCCCTAGTAGCGTCCTTGCTCCTAGTAGCGATGCCCTTTGCTACTAGTAGCTTCTTGTTCCTAGTAGTAAACAATTATGTTTGTTTCTTGTTGTGTTTCTTTGTTTTTGCTGTGTTTTTCTTCTTTGTAGTTTTCCTTGTGTGTTTCCTTTGCTTTATGTTTTTATATTGTAGTTTTTGTGTTTGTTTGTTCTTTTTTGTTTAGCCCGTTCTCCCTCCTCCGTACTTGATTAAGTAGGCGCCTACTTAATTAAGTAAGGGAGAGGTAGCTACTAGCTGCAAGTAAGCTACTACCTAGGACGCAGGATGGCTCACGCTTCTTCAAGGAAGCGCTCGCACTAATGATTCGGTTCCTAGATTTCAAGAAAACTTAACTAGGCGGCGACTTGATTCAGTATAAGGGTTATCCTGCTAACAAGCTCACTAGTAACTGGATGCAGGATAAAGCGTGCTGCACTTCGGTTGTTACCATCTTCAGGCAGATGCAGTGAGCTACAGTACCGGCATCAGTGGCTCGCCTCGAAGACAGCACAGCTCAAACTTTAACGGCTTCAGAGGCGTTATGAAAGGGACCCAAGAAAACCTGTTGACCTTTTTTGCATCCAATTTACTTTTCAGATATTCTATTCAGAGCTCAAGGTGCCTGTGGCCGCGCACTGCGCTACAATCCTGCACAGCAGCTCTTGCAGGAGGCTGTAAAGAGCAATCTGGCAAACCAGGCGGGATTTTCTTGAACAGCCCGAGGCCCCGCCGCTACTAAGGGCTCCTGGCATCGCTACTAGGAGCAAGGACGCTACTAGGAACAAAGGGCATCGCTTCCCCTCCCTACTTAATTAAGTGAGGGTGACTAGTTCACTTCTAGCAACTGGACGCAGGGGCGGGGAAGCTTCCTTGAAGAAGCGCTTGCATTAATCATTTGGTTGGTAGATTTCTTGGGGAAACTGCTGTGTCAGCTGTGTCAGCTGCAGTGCCCCTTTCCACCACATCAGGTGGTAAATATATGTGGTGCCGAAGTAAATTGGCGCTCTGCGGAGACGCTTGAGCATTTGGAACAGACCAAAAACATGCAGTTTCTTAAGCACCTATTGCACTCCCTGCAAGGCTAAATGCAGAATCTAGACTACAAGTTGTATTGGTAGCATTTCAAGCATAATATAGTTAAGCTTTACTAGGAGCAGGGACGCTACTAGGGGCTCCTGGCATCGCTACTAGTAACAAGAAGCTACTTCTAGGAACCAAATGAACAGTGCGAGCGCTTCTTCAAGGAAGCTCCCCCGCTAAAGGCGGAGAGAGTGAAATACATCCAGAGCTCAAGTGGGCACACTTACAAATCTTACAACGAAGGATGTGCTCAATTGATCCATCCTTATCCCTCTTCAAGGAACATCTAAGCATGTTCAGCGTTGGCCTGCAACTTGTCCAGAACGATTCAGGTTGTGTACAATGCTGCCATCAGCGCAACTCGTCTTAATTGAACTGGCGAGAGTCTTTCAGAGAGTTAGCCGATGGAGTGATCCAAGAGACAGAAACAATAAGGTTACTTTGGGGTTACCTTCTAGTAACAAGTGCCTTACTAGTAGTAACAAGTGCATCGCTATTAGTAACCAGTGCATCGCTTCTAGTAACAGGTACCTTACTACTAGTAACAAGAAGCTATTAGGAACAAGTGCCTTACCTTGTTTGTGCTGTGCCTGGCTGTGCCCGAAGTGAACTGGATAAGAGCCGAGTCCGAAAACTTTTGTGTGACCATCGGTCGTCAGGTCTTTCAAAACAGTGACTGGGAACTTTTTTTTGAAGGCATGTGGTGGCCGCTGGGAGCAAGCCTTGGCGTTGCTTTGGCAAACGCCCATGGATGAGTCGCGAGGCCTAAGTTTAGCATAATCTGAGGACAACTTTCAGAATGGCGTTGCCATGTTCTGAACCTAATAGCATCCGACCTAGAAGCGATGGCCTGCAACCTACTAGCAATGGCCTCCAACCGAATAGCTTCCAACCATATTCTAAACAAGGGCTTTGTTCAGTTCTGTAGAGGGAAGGCAGTTTGCAATTATCTACGCCAATTCTCCATTGTTTTCTGATCATTTTGGTCTTGCTTTTGCAATCCTTTTGTTTGCGTTCTGTCCATTACGTTCTTCTCAGGATCAGCTTCAATGCAGCCATTGATGCTTGTGAGCAGGGTGGTCAATGGCAGGCAGCCCTTGTCGTTTCGGGCCTCTCAGCCAACCACAAATGAAACAAGAAATTAAGAAGAAACTAACAGAATGGCGCTTCCTGTCCTGTTCAGTTCGCTGTGTCCTTTCAACAGCATGGCGCACTTGCGCTCACCGGGAATTGACTTCCACCATTAGTTGTCATTTTCTTTGGACCTTTGTTGGATTGTTCCTCTCTCCTTCCCTGGTCCCTCCAAATTTGTTGTACAGTAGTTGAAAGAAAGGAGCCTTAATTTCAAAGCAGAGGATATTTGCCATTTGCCAAACTTGCCTTCTTTTGCATTGTGCTGATCGATTCCAGGTCGCTCTCCAACTGCTGTGCCTCGTCAAAGCAGACTGTGAAGCTACAAGCTGTGTTGTTCATGCCTTGTTGTCTCGAAAGCATTCAGGGCTCCTGGCCTTACTACTAGGAGCAAGAAGCTATTAGGAACAAGTGCATCGCTTCTAGTAACAAGTGCCTTACTAGTAACAAGAAGCTAGTAGTAACAGGTGCCACGCTAGTAGTAACAAGTGCCTTACTAGTAACAAGGTTCGCTACTAGTAGCAAAGGGCATCGCTACTAGGAGCAAGGACGCTACTAGGAGTTTCCTCGTAGGTTCGCTGCAAGAGACGCCGGTATGAGCTCAGCGATTGGCGCCAATAGCGCTTTGAGCGCTATGGAAAAGCAGCCTGGCGGAGGAATTGCAGCATGGGGTCGTTGAAGTACTTCAGACCTCAATGAGTTGGACTTGGGAATGCCTTATGTGTCGCTACTAGGAGCAAGAAGCTACTAGTCGCTCCTGGCCATGCTACTAGAAACAAAAAGCTACTGGTAGCGTTTCTACTCACCCTTTGATTTGAGCCAGATGTCAATCCACGCAACCTCGACCTTTTCTGGTCAGCCACATAGGCTGTCATGTTGCTCATGCCTTGCCAACAATGGATCCACGCCATACACACTAGACCACCATCCCAATAAAATGCACATCACGGACGTCAGCACTTAATTAAGTAGTAGGGAGAAACTTAAGTTCTCTAAGATCAAGATCTAGGAACCAAATGAATAGTGCGAGCGCTTCCTCAAGGAAGTTTCCCCCCGCCCTCAGGCGAGGAGCGTGAGCTATCCTGCGTCCATGCTAGTCAAAGGAAGTTTAGTGTACGAAACTTCCGTGTTACGGACATTCAAGAACTGTTCATACACCACTCATCAATACACCACTCATCATACACCACTCATCAATACACCACTCATCATACACCACTCATCATACACCACTCATCATACACCACTCATCATACACCACTCATCATACACCACTCATCAATACACCACTCATCAATACACCACTCATCAATACACCACTCATCATACACCACTCATCATACACCACTCATCAAACACCACTGTTCATACACCACTCATCATACACCACTCATCAATACACCACTCATCAATACACCACTCATCATCACACCACTCATCATACACCACTCATCATACACCACTGACCATACACCACTCATCAGACACCACTCATCAGACACCACTCATCATACACCACTCACTCATCATGCACCACTCATCATGCACCACTCATCAGACACCACTCATCATACACCACTCATCATCCAGTTAGCTCTAGCTCCAGTTAGCATCATGTGCAGATTTCGTGGCAGGCACAGCACTTTGTGAACCTCTATGTGCAGATTTCGTGGCAGGCACAGCACTTTGTAAAGCTTGAGGTGCAGACGTGGTAGGCGCAGCACTTTGAGAACCCTCCATGTGCAGATTTCGTGGCAGGCACAGCACTTTGTGAACCTCCATGCGCAGATTTCGTGGCAGGCACAGCACTTTGTGAACCTCCACGCGCAGAGTTCGTGGCAGGCACAGCACTTTGTGAACCTCCCTCCATGTGCAGATTTCGTGGCAGGCACAGCACTTTGTGAACCTCCATGTGCAGATTTCGTGGAAGGCGCAGCACTTTGTGAACCTCCATGCGCAGATTTCGTGGCAGGCGAAGCACTTTGTGAACCTCCATGCGCAGATTTCGTGGCAGCTGCAGCACTTTGTGAACCTCCATGTGCAGATTTCGTGGCAGGCACAG